ATGGTTGCTTATGAATAAGTGTTCTGCATAGGGTTTCTTTCCATAGGTGCCGCCCTCTGGATGTGTTCCATAATATGTCAGTGTGAAAAGCTAAATATGGGAGTTTGGCTTCCCAAGAATCTGGAAGGTACGGGTTGAATAAATCAGACATAGGTAGTGTAGCAAGAGTAAACATGATCCTACACATACATTCATTTAAAGACTTTGAGGAATTATGTGATTGCCAGCAACAATCCCTTTTTACTGGAATTCAGAATTAAGTCAAAACCCACCATTCTAGCCCAGTGTTTCTCAGTCTTAGCAACTTTAAGGTGAGTGGATTTCAACTCCCAGAAGTTAGTTAAAGTCCACTCATCTTAAAGTTGCTAAGATTGAGAAACACTGCTCTAGCCTGTGGAACTGACAGTGGTACATTCTGTTGTTCTGGTATGTGTTTCATACTATAGTTTAATCATTCTGGCTTAGTAGCAGGATGTATAAAGGCAACTAAATGGGAATAACTCCAATTCAATCTTGCAAATAAGCCCATCAAGCCTGCCAGGGGCTTCCAAGGGAGATAGGGAGAGCTGCTGTTCTATTCTGGGCAAACAAGAGTGCCAGGTACACCCAGCTCTTCATAGTCTGTACATCCATGTGCATAGAGATTCACACATTCAACTGCATGCAGCTCCTGACTGGCTGTAGAGATCTGGTCAGTGCTTAATCTTACTTTTAGGGAAAGGCAAATATCAGTTTGTTCTGGGAACCCAAAGAACCTTTTAAAAGGCTTATCTAGAAATAGCAAATATAATGGATTCCAATGTTATTCCACCTTGACAATAACATTGTATTAGATCACATTTCGGAACACAGTTCTAACTCAAGAACCATTGGGGTTCACTAGTCTACAATGTAATCACAAAACAAACAAACTGGATGAAGATTTCTGAGGATAGGACTTTATGGAAGGGCTCCAATATATCCCCATATATAGTATGGCTATTTTCCTCAGAAGAAGATTATTAATAAAATATCAGTGCTGCAAATGTGCATCAAGCATATATTAACTTCTGTGTCAACATGAAGCTAAACTGAAGTAAAATTAATTCCTCAAGTCAGGCTGAACTCCTGCTATCTCATAAACTTTTGCAGTCCTTTGGAATGTACGGGACCTTATAAGAGGGGGAAGAGACAACAGAAAGAAGTATTCCAATATTCTTGCTGAGATAGCCATTAAAAATGGATTTTTTAACATAGTTGATCTACATTTTCCCTATCATATTTTAAGTATTGCTAGGGATTCAGTGGACCCTTGTTATCTTTTTTGTTTTTGTTTTGGTGCCTTCAAGTTAGTGTTGAGTCCTGGTGACTAACTGGATAAATCACTGCAGTTTTGTTGGCAAGATTTCAGAAGCAGCTAACCCTTGCCTCTTTCCTAGGGCTGAGAGAGAGGGACTGGCCCAAGGTCACCCAGCTGGCTTCGTGCCTGAGGCAGGACTAGAACTCACAATCTCCCGCTGTCTAGCCTGGTGCCTTCACCTCTACACCAAACTGGCTCTCCTGTTATCTTAGATGGGTGATATTTCACTGTTTTCATTCATTTCAGAAGATCTGATCCTAGATAGCATAGGAAGCTAGAAGATTTTTTTTTAAATGAAGATAAATTCCAGATGAAGTATCACATATTGAGAAATATGTGGCAAAAGTTTTATGAATATTTATATAGCTGCTGGGGAACCATAGGAATCCCATTATCACAGGAAAAGGCTTAATGCATAGTTATTCAAATCCAGCAATATGGAAGTCAATTGAAGCTGATAAATTGTGGATAATAAAAATAGTGACTGCTGGATTTCTTCTCCAAAGCTATTCTTCTTTGTCATTGTGTTTGTAGGTTTGACCTGATGTAAATATTGCATACTACTGTGTAGGATACCACTGAAAACAGATGGCCCTGTGGCAGGGTCAGATTATTAAGGTCACAAGTGATATCAAAGAGAAGCCACACTTCTTAAAGTTGCTGAGGTTGAGAAACACTGTTCTAAAGAGCTGCCTGGGTGTTTGTTGTAATAAAAGAATCAATCCTTACGTAGTCACCTTGATAATCCCAAAACTGCAGCTGACCTAGAATGCAGCAGGGTGGCCCCCCATGCTCTTGTAGTGAAATAGCTTCCCTATTTCAACAGTCGCTTTCCAGGCCCAATTCAAGTTGTTTACAGTGGCTGTTAAAACCTTCAGTGGTTGAGGCCCAGACTATCAAGAGGAAGGCCTCCTCTGTCCAGATGTCCCCATCATCTCAGATCATCAAGGGGACACATTTTACAGGTCCCACCATCAGTGCTTCTGATGTCATCAGCAAGTTCAGCCAATGTTTAGTCATGCTGTCAAGAATAAAAGTCAAAACACCTTAAAACCACTGTCTTCCTATTGGGCTATATGCATTTATACAAATAACCATGCTATTTGTTCTACAGGAGATAGCCAAAGCAGTTAGAACATTCACTTTTAGGAGTTCTTTAACTCTATGGATCTAAAAAAACTTTTGGTCTCAAAAAATATTGGCACGTGTTTATACTTGAAAAAACAAAAACATCTTATTCTTGATAGCACGAGTATGTGCCATTTTTTGAGATCATGTCTTTTTTAGATTCAAGGAGGTTGAATAAGCAGTGTTTAGATACACTTGAATGTGTCTGTGGTGTAACAATTATATAATGATACAGTTTTTATATCTTCATAATTTAAAAAGCACGTGAGTGTTCTAATCTCCTATAACAGTATAACAAACATTGTAATGTTTAATGTACGTTTTCATATTTCTCTTTCATAGTGCCCTTGAAAAAAGGTATATAGCCAAAATGTGTGAGGTTTGCTTAATGAAGTCTTTTTTTTTACTGACATTAGGAACTCTTTTTCCTTCCCTTTTTTGCTCCTTAAAACATTTGAAAGCCAGAGTAATAATCACTCATATTAAAATGTCTTGAAATTCCCCAGATTGAAATTGGTATTTTAGAATTAAAAACTCTAGAGTTTCAAGTTTATGTTAATTAATACCTCTAGATTAAATACAACTGTGGAAAGGTTTTGTCCTTGTAGTTTGTCTACACATTTTGAGTGTAACCTTCTCTGTAATTAAAAGTGCTATTTATAGTTCCTTGTGTTATTAGATTTCAGAAAGCTTTTAAAAAGTGAAGACATGTTTCCTATGTCTATAATGCTGAGAGGGCAAATAACAAGGAAATGTACCTAAAAGCCAATGAAATCCAACAGATTCTGTGCTTTATTTAAGACACTGCTTGAATTACTTAAATTTCATTTAGATCCCTTCTACTTTATTTTAAAGTTTCAGAGGTGAACTAGTACATTTCAGTGCCTGGGAAAGGGTTCTGAAGATAAAAATTAAGGACAATAAAAATATTTAAAATAAAAATGGTAGCATCATAATGATCAAGAAGGAGCACAGTTTTCAAAGCAGAGGAATCCAGGATCTTGGGAAAGGAGGTACTGAGGCAAGTGGAACTTTAAAAGGAGAAATAAAAACAATAGAGGGAGATGAGTGAATCAATATATGAATCAATATTTACTCTTAAAGTGACCAAACTCCAGGCAAAGGGGTAAATGAATAGCGCAATCATAGATAAATGGGACCACAGCCAACATCTTATGCTCCTGGCAGCTTGTGTTAGCTAGGTGTGTGTGTGCATTCATGGTATTTACTTGTTCGTTTGTTTATTGGAAGGAGGAAAAATACGACTTTTCAGCCTAGAAGTTCTGTGCATTCATGGCTCCTTGGATTCAGGCCCATCTACAGAATATGATAGCTTTGGATCATCTGATCCAGAATATTTGTATTTGGAAACTGCATTTTATAATTATTCTACTCAATTTTAAAGTTAATTGGATGTTTGCATATGGAACAAGTTTGCTTTAATAGTCTAGACAGCTTCTATCAGTTGCCTTGTTGTAGACATCAAAAAAAAAGGGGGGAGGACATTTGTTTTTTCTCCTTAAACAAAAGCTTCCCTGTCTAGTTTCTTTTTGTTGTTTGGGGGGAGTTGCTCAATAACTGCTTATTTAATAATTAATGTAGAATTGCCTTTTTGCTGTTTAACAAAGGAGCTGCTTTGTACTATACTTCCCCCCTCCTCCCCTTCAGCAAGGCAGCTTACATCTCTGCATGGTCTCCCAGAGTCCATAGAACTTCCTAAAGGGGCATGCAGACCGAAACCTGCAATACTTCCCAGTGTAAGACTTTGTGTTTTGAGTTTGTAATCATTGGATGATGAATCTGCCATATTCTGAAACAGTAAAAAGAACATGGTGTCAACTAAAAATGAAAGCAGTCTGGGGTAGCTTTGATTTTTTAGAAATCTTACTTAGGTTTGATGGTGTTGAGCACTGAGAGAGAAAGGTAGATAGGTTTTTTTTAGGAGGCAGAATAGAAACTTTATCTTTGATATCTCATGGGGCAGATGCTATTTTCTGCAATACCCTCTCAAGACAATATATTTTTCTCATTTCCTCTCTTCCTTCTGCCTTTTTAAACATAGCCCCTGAAAAAGAGATTTGTGAAATGCACAAGCTAGCTATCATGGTTTTCTGAGTTTCAGTCAGCTTTACAGCCTCTCTCCCCCAGCTAACAGCTCTGTGTTTGTTTGCCTGAAAGTTTCCCAGAAGGAAACCTCATGGGATAGTGGTGCTGATGATTTTTTTTTTTTTTTGCTCTGCTTCATTGTTCTTAAAAAAAATCCTTTTATCCTAAGTTACTGATGTCATAGGCTTTTCACATTTTATTGTTCCTGTGTATTCTAACTTCAGCATTATCACTCCAGGAAGTCTGAAAAAGATATACCAATGATAAACAGCAATAATTGACTCCTTTGGCTTGCCAAGTTTATTGTATTTGGAATTGTTAATCAGCTAAATAACCAGTTATGCAAGATATAAATGTCATGCATATTCACTAGAATGCTTATTGTCTATAAGCATAAGTTTAAAAGTGCATCAATTTTCTTCTGCAGATTCAAAGCACAGAGGGAGAGATTCCACATGCTCCTAACACAAGCCAACTGGCTTTAATCAAAACAAAAAAAGGTGAGTAGATTTTTTTTCCTTGTTCCTCCTGAAACATCCTGACCACTGGATGTCGATCCAAGTACTTTAAGCTTTTTAAGTAGTGGCCCACCCATAAGCTCCTAGTCTGCCCTTCAATTAGATTTCAAATCATAGTGTCTTCTTGTGAAATGGCATCCTAAATGACAGAGGATGGATCAAACTTGTAGCCTTAATTAAGGGTTTGGCTTTTCTGACTCCTCCATCAGTTATAGGGTGGAGAAATTGAAGTGGTGCAATATATTTATATGAGCGAATGATGCCCTGTCATTTAAAATTACCATTTTGAACCTTAAAATAACATACTCAAAACCAAAATCTGCATGGCACATATAAAGAACATTTTTACTGTTCTCCAAGTGCTGACGATACAAAAGGTTTGTGTGTTCAGCCATTCAGATAATGTGACAGAGCAGCCCTATAGAACATAAGCATTAAGTCTCCACTGCGTTCAGTGGGGCTTCCTCCATAGTAAGACTGTTCTAGGACTGTACCTTCTATTTCCAAATTAGAACATACGGTGACTGATTATGAGGATGCTCACGGAGTTTTTATCTTTGTTGGGTGTCCATGTTAGTTGCATCCCTCTGCTTTTCAGCACAGGAGAATGAAGCAAATGCTGTCCTCTCCCTCTTTCTTTGCCAGTATGTGGTTCGTTCTGTAATGGCATGGAAAGAAAGCACTCCAGAAGAACCACCATGGTCTAGAGAGTATGTACTTGGTGCGTGAAAAGAAAGGTCCTGTGCTTGGAGTAATAAATGGTCTAGACTACAGTAGCAAAGAGAATACCTGCATTCTTTGATCAGTGGAGATCATATTTTTCTTTGAACATAGAATGAAATGTAGCTCTAATTTCGCTTCAGAATGTGACTGCCATTAGCAGGTTGAAAAAACACCAGTAAGTATATGTATGCCCTGGCTCAGGAGCTTAGATACCTGTATATCTAACTGTATACACTTAGTTTAGTTACAGGTGTCTTTAACAATCAGTTAGCTTACTACCAGACTAAATCTGTCAGTTTCAGTTCTTCAGGCTTGATTTAAACCTTGTGTGAAAACCCTTGGCATTTCTCTGGATGGTAATCTCATTCAATCTTTTGGTTATCCATCGATCTGTTTCCACTGCTTATTTTGTAAGTCTATTCACAACAGATGTATTATTTCTATCTGTTGGCTTATGACTTGCCTACAAAGCTACTATTTTGATTTTGTTTTCTTTTTCTTTCTTAAACTGGTAATATATTTTTGATAGGTTTGTTCATTCAAAGATCAGACTGTAGCTGCTATCAACAACTTATTTAATAGGGTGCAGTAAAATGTATACTATCTCATTGGTTTGTTTCTTTGTTTAAAAAAGCCTTAGGCATAAAGGTAAAAATGTTAGCATTTTATGTTAAATTCACAGAATTTGTAATTCTATTTCCTTGTATTAATAGCAGGCTTTTTAATTTGCATTGTCCATTTTATGAATTGTGTTTCCTGTTTTATTTTTGTTCTTAATGTAAGCTTTCATCATAATCAGCTTAACTTAATAACACATTATTCAGGGGGAAAAAGCTCAATTCTCCAGTACAGTTAATATGATGTTCTTTTTAGATAATGAATTTTAATTAGTGGAAAACAAGTTTGTCTTTTGTGTGTTCAGCATTGGTATTTGTTATTACATAACCCAAGTAGAGGTATGTTTTTCTTGCAGGGTTTGCTTTTTTGAAGGGCAGGACTGGAACAAAAAGTTTTATTTGCTAGATGCTATAACATGAAGTGAAATGAAATGTTCAGTATGCACAGTCTTCACTAGCTAAAGAAATTTTGGTTCAGGAAATTGTTGCTATTTTTATGCACAGATGGCCTGATGGGTATATCTTATACAGGCCATGAAGTTTGATCTACTGGCATTTGCCAAAATTCAAATACACATTTAAAAATAAATCTCTAACTGTGCAAGGGAAAAAAAATTAACGTCCAAATGTCTTGAAAATTTAGAATAGAAAAATGCCTGTGGGATTCTGCTTTATACTGAACAGGTTTATTTGATCATCAGGGATTTAGTATCTTCTGTTCTGGCTAGTGGCAGTCCTTAAAGGTTTGGTTTCTTAAGATCCTTTTTATCTAGAAGAGCCCTGGATCAAAGCTGACCTTATTCCTGTATGCATAGTACAGCTCATTAAGATAGAACAACAGGTGTATACCCTGAAATTCAGGAATAATTAAAACTAGCATTTTGTTTGAGCTAAATTAAAAGCCATGATATTGATCATTATTTTTTTCTCACTTCCCTCTAAAAAGCTGAATATGTAGAATCTTTTCTGCATTTTATTTTTGCAGTAGCCGCTTATATTTTACCCAACATACTCCTGAGCCCTTCATTTATTAACAGAACTTTAACTTGGATATTCCCAGTCTAACACCTTTTCTGTTCCATTGTTGGCCCTGTTGAATAGTAAACATACATGCAGTGATTTTTCACATATTCCAGTCTTCAGGTTCTCCTATTTCTTGTAAGTTACAGGAACAAAAATATTGCATAGCATATTGATTGACATCCCATTATTATTTCCAGACTAGGGTTAGACAGAGGGGAGAGATAAATTCCAGTATTAGGGAATACATCCTGTATATGAATAGACATTTGCCCAACAAGATACATGTGATGTTAAAAGTTCTAGCAAGTGAGAATCTGGGCAGTAATGGTCCAGGTTTTTACTTAGGACTCAGTTTCTTTATGCAAACTAGTTCTAATAAGGTAGCTACGACCAAAAAAAAAATGATGCTTATAGGCTTGTCCCAAATTAGCCTCCCCCACCCCCCACTGTCTTCCCACTGTAGGGAGTACAAACTGGTTTCTAAGCAAGTGCAGATAAGAACAGCCTTGCCCAACCAAATGTTTTCTACATATGTTGCATTAGAGCGCTCCTCCTCCACAGCAGTTTGATAATTGGCTAAATTGACAGGAGAGAGATCTGGGAAACTGAAGGCTAGTCATCCCAATTGTTTGGAGCAAATTGGTGGAACAGAATTTCAAAATTCTGAAGCAAAATCAGCATTGATTCTGCAAAAACAACTGTCTAGTTATTGAGTGAGTCAACAGCCATGCAATTACAGGTGACCCCATTGACCCTGTATGCTTTTCAAAGCATTTTCAATTTTCAAAAAGCCTTTGACAGAGCTCCTTATCAAAGATTCTTATGTAAACTTAACAGCCGTGTCCTTTTATAGGTTGCTAACTGGTCACAAAATGTAAAATGAAGAATAGGAATACACGGTCAGTTTTATCAATTGAGGGGTAAGAAATGGAATACTTCAAGGATCTGTACTGGGACAGGTGCTTTTTAACCTACTCACCTTGACATGGGTAAGCAGCGAACTGGCCAAATTTGCAGATGATTCCAAACTATTCAGGGTGATGAAAGCCAAAAGTAAAGAATTATAAAATGATCTGTTTAAACTAGGTGAACAGTCAACGAAGTACCAAACACAGTTCAATTTAAATAAGGGTAAATTAATGCACATTGAACGAAAAGCACAGGTGCAGAATAATCTTCTATAACTAAACAGGAAAAAGTTATTTGGGCCATAGTGGATAGCTCAATAAAAATGTGCACACACTCAGTGTGCCGCAGCTGTAAAAAAAGGCAAATTTCATGCTACAAATAATTAGGAAAGGGGTTGAGAATAAACACTGTAATGCCCTTAGAACATGTATAGCGTATCTACATCTGGATTACTTTGTACAGTTCTGGTTTTCATGTTTGAAAAACAATATAAGAGAGTTGGAAAAAGTGCAGAAGAGGGAAGCCAAAATGATCAAGGGACTTGATCATGGTTAGAATATTTGGGACAGTTTAGCTTAGAGTCATGGGGATTATTTGTATTATTTATTATTATAATTATTCAGATATATAAAATCATGCATGGAGTGGGAAAGGAGATGAGTTTCTCCCTCTTTCAAAAGACTAAAACTGGGGCTATCCAGGGAAACTGATTGGAAGGAAATTTAAAACAGACAGAAGAAAATACGTCTTGCAACTCATAATTAATCTGTGGAGTTCATTGTCACAGGATGTGGTAATGGCCATTATTCTGGATGGTTTAAAAGGGGATGGGGTAAATTCATGGAAGACTTAATTAAGGGCTAATAGTCTTGAACATTCAGTGTTACTTGGGGATTCACAACAGTCTGCCTCCAGGTACCATTTGCAGAGGAGCAGTGGCTGGAGAAGGGTAAGTCCGTATTCTACTTCTTGTGAAGCAGGTCTCAGAAAGAAACAAAAAGATGGGTGTTGGCCCGATCTGGCAGAGCTGTTCTTTCATTCTTATAACTGTGATAAGGAAGATTGCCATCCAATACACCCAAAGAGAGCAGATTAGACAAAGCCGTATTACTGAGCAGGATGCATTGAACATAGTGGGACATTTCAAAGAACTTCATAGGATGTTTTCTGGGGTGGACACCTTCACATCATAGCATATTCATTAGAATTACAAGGGTAGGCTTTAGCACAGAGTGGAATGAGATTGATTATTGATTCCCTCCACTTACATTTGCTTAATTATTTCAGTTATTGAAAAGATATGCACATCTGTTTAGCGCATTCTGTTTGTGTGTGTGTATGCCTACACATGCAAGTATGCATACACTAATGCGGTTGTTTCATCTGTGGAATGCTGCTTATTCAACAGAGTGTGTCCACTAGTGGAACAGGGGAGGCAACTTTCATGAAATTCCCCCCACCCCACTTCCTAAGCCCTAAACATCTGCTATTCTGGATAAAATCGCCTCTTCAGCTCTCCCTTTTTGCTGCCAGTAGTAAATTCCATTCGTGGGATGCTGCCAATGGCGGAAAGAAAGGCTAGATTCAGCCCGTTGTATCAGGAGCTCTTCAAACCTTAAAGTCACAGTTAGGAGCCTTTACGGGCTTATATTATGTGAAGAACGGCTACAATTCTGGCAGCTCTTTGGTGTAGATGATCCATGACGATTGTTTCTGGAGCAATATTTGTGGGTCGATATCTTGGCTGTGACAATGCAGTACTCTATGTTTGGACATTCTCCTTCTGAGCACCCTTCTTGTTTATGATGGAATTCCAAGCATATTATCTCTGCAACATGAAAATCCATTGGTAGCTCATTAACAAGAAAGAGAGACAGAAAGACATAGACACAGATACACATACATGCAAGCTGAGGTTCAAAAGCAACAAAGTGCCTTGCTGTGTTTTATTTATTTTGATTACAAGAGTGCCATCTGTGTTATATTTTAAAACCACACAAAATAAGGCCAACATTCTTCTAATAGGAGGGAGGACAAATTTGGAAGTCTTCCCCCAAAACTAACTGCTGTTCATCTCTGAGCTATGTGTTTGTGTAAATAATCAGATTATTTACACTTAGAAGCGACATATTAATAACTTCTGAGGATGTGTTTTCAATACATAAAAACTGTCTGTAATTCACTCTTATCTATTCTAGAAGACTGTAGAGCATTTTCAATTCTCCTTCATTTGTTTGGATTTTTTTAAAAAAATGTTTTTGGTCTCAAGGATGTAAAACTATTTAACTTCCTGATAATTCAGAAACGTCCACAACCTGCTTATCATCCCATTCCTTATAAACTGTGCAGTTTTTAAAAGCAATTTAGTCCAGGAGCACAAAAAGCAGGGCTGGATTTGAGTCACTAAATTTACTCTAGCCATACATTTTAAATGTGTCTATGCTGTGAGTCCCTTGTTGAAAATCGCCATTCTGTGGCTTCTTTTGTATACTTTGGACCTGCTGGAATGTTTTAAAGTCTGCCCCACACAGAACATAGGCTGTTTTCCCAAATGCTGTTGCTCTACCACCATCAGCTGGAAGGGCTGTGGGTGAGGCTCCAGCATGCAGCATGCTGAGCAAAGCTTGGGTTGGCTTGAAGGGGATATATGTCCTGCCCAGTTTCTAAGCTTAGCCTGCTTCGGTCCCAGCTGAACAATTGCCTCTGTGTCTTCTTTGGTTGGGGCTCTGTACAGGGCAAGAGGTGTGTCATTTTTGTTTACCCTCAGGAAAGCATGTGGCTTGAATCTCTGTTTTTTTTAAAAGAAAAACACCTATTAATTCAAAATAGGATTCTCCTGCCTTTTAAAGTAAAAAATACTCAATATGCTTTTCAAAAATACTTAAAAGGAACTTTAAGATACAATATCTTATTTATTTATGTATTTATTTATGTATTTATTTATTTATTTATTTATTCATTCAGATACAGTATTTATACATATTCTGTACATGGATACAGTATTCCTTTAAAGATACAATATGCCAGTAAAATAAAGATTAAAAATAACAATTAAAAACTAAAAACAGTCTGCACAGTTAATATTTATTTATTTAGTAAATTTATAAGCCTCCCATCTCATATACCAGACCAGGTGGCTCACAATTAAAACAGAATAAAAAACAAAAAACAACCAGAATTAAAAACAACAAAAATGACATAAAAATAGCAGCTGAGAACACTTATAAATACTCAAACTGAAACAGGCTCACCCATGCTATCAGGACTCCAGGCTCAATGGCAAAGCCAGGTTTTTAGTGCCTTGCGAAAGGTCAGCAGGGTCAGGGCAAGTCTAATTTCTGAGGTGGGGAGATAATGTTCCATTAATTAATATGTTAATTGTGAACTGAGAGACCCGGGTTCAAAGTCCAGTCTTAACCAGAGAACTCCATTAGCTCACTTTGGGTCACCTCCTAACACTCAGTCCAGTCTACCCCAGAAGGTTGTCTTGAGAATAAAATGAGGGATGACCCCAAATATGTTGCTTTGAACACCTTGGGATAAGGTGGGATAAAAGTGTCGTCAGTGTAGAGAAAAAAATTAGCCAGCTGAAGGCCCAATTAAGGGCTAAACAGAGCCAAAGAAACAATCAGTTTTGGCCGGAAAGCTAAGAGTCAGAGCCAGCTTTTGGGTTGGTAGGTCAGGGCTCTGATCTGTATGAATAAATGCACATATCCTCTTGAGAGCTAAATGGAGCATCATGTACATGTTGGAAGATCTGCTGAGCATTTAACATTTGTCTGTCTTCCCATTTCTCCCACCCCCACCAATAGATCAGCTCTTGCGATCAGCAAGTCAGCATTCTGACAGCAGTGGCTTTGCAGAAGATTCTTCCACTGACTGCTTCTTGCTCAATCAACTGCAGGTAAATTTCTTGGATTGCTTCTTTTCTGCTTTCCCTATTGTTACCAGTCTATAGTGTGAGCAAGGAACCCCTTTGGCGTACCTAGGGGAAATGTGAGAACGGTTTTGTTTTCTAGGATTCTAATTCAGTAATGGCATTTTCTTTGTACCTGGATGATTGGATTGGACTGCAGTAGGGCCTTTTAGCTACAAAAGATTTCCTATTTATTGTCAACTGTGATTGCAAGATGTGATCATCACTCTCCAGGTGGCAAGTACAGCAGCAGCAGCATAAAAATGCAGTCCTCACAACTGCATCACACTGTATACAAAAAGAGCATCATATATCATGGGACTGGAATAGGGAAGAGTCTTTAAAAGTTTAACAATCAGCCAGATATTTCTGGAAATGCCAGGTTATTCCCTTGATCCTAAAAGTATATGTCATGGCTTGGTAAAGTTCTTGGGGAAAGAACATTGCATGGCATTGATGCTGCTACAAGAAGTCCGTGTTTCTGTTTAATACCTGCCACTAGTAATGACTGGTGACTTGGAAGTAAATCAGAGCCAACAACATCTTACTTTCTATCCATCTTCCATTCCCGCATGTTTTGTTCTGTGGAACACAGAACAAAAGCACTCTGCCCTGTAACTTTGGTACATGACTCACTTTATGACCCATTAAGTTTGGAGATGGCTTCAGCAGGAACTCATTTTATACCAGTGAAACTGAAGCAAGTAGATATATCACTTGAGAACAGTTATGGCAAGGGAGTATATGGATCTGCTTCCCACCTTATGCAAAAGCAATCCTTTGAGCCCAAATCTGTGTGCTACACAGTAGGCCCCCATTGCTCAGGATAGGGAAAATGAACCAAGTTAGTGTCAGGGTAAAGTGAAAGGATGGGTGAAAAATTATGGTTAAGAACCACAGTTGCAAAATTTTTTGCACCAATATTTTTCTGCTTTAGAGAAGGAAGTCATTGGAGTAGACAGAAAAGCCAAAAGGAATTTTCTTAAGAGTCCATTCTTTGCCTAAAGGTGGGCTGGTAAAGACAAATTTGTAAACAGGCTATGCCACTGGAAAACAGGATTATAAAGGGGGCAAAAAAGGATCTAAATCAATTTTAAAAAGGAAATAGTATAATCCTGAACATGTTTACTCAGAAAGAAGGTCTGTTAAACTCACTACTTAGGAAGGATTTGATGTCACTACCAAATCAGAAACACAGTAAAAATAGGAAGCACACTTGCCTTTTAAATTGTGGGTTTACTTCTCTTGCTTCTGGCTTGTTCCCTTGACTGACTACTGTCTGTATTAAAAGGGAACTTCCCACTCCACTGCAGTCATGCAAACACACACGCACACAAGCACAAAATATCTCTTTGGCTTATGTTTCTCTTTGACTCCCTCCCATCCCAAAGTTGTATCGAGGACTGTAGGGTCTGTGTGTCCTGCTTCCTGACTATTACTTCTTTGTCTTACTTGGTTTCCTGCTTCCTTAGACTAGATGGCATAAATGATTGCTCTGCCTGATGCCTAATAAAGAAGCCAAGAGGAAAACAGACAAAGCATGTGTGCAAACGCAGCAGATTAGTCCGGGATACTGTTGAACTCTGGGGACTCCATGTACCCAGTTCTTCCTTGGAATGGGAGATTGTATAACTCGGCTGCAGTGCTGAGGACACAAAGAGAAGGGGTGGAGGTCCTCTGTCTTTAAATATAAATCTCTCCTGCCTGCCAGACTTCATTCGTAAAGGCTCACAAAAGAAAGACTCAGAAGGAGGGGAACTAAGTTAGCACAAGGGCAAGAAGGCTGTCCTTCAGTTCCAGACTGCTTGGGACTTCAAAGGTCAAAGAAGAAGTAAATAAATGATGAGTCTGGAAATAAGAGATAAGCAGGGTTGCAGGAATAAGTGCATTATGTGTTTAGCTTCTCTAGAATTTCCCATCCATCTTTAGATGATGTTAAGATTTGTCAAGTTAAAAGTAGATCTATTTTTTCTACCAGTCTAGATAACAGTTTTCAAAATTATGGCAATTATGATTTCCAGATTTTCATAGCTTATGGCCACCAATATTTTTTTACAACTAAAATTAAGAATGCTTTTTAAATTTAAAAAAATGTTTTTAGTGAAATTAAACAAAAATAAAAACAATACAACATTGATGCAATCAAAAAGAAAAAAAATATGCAGGTAGGCCTTGCTTACCAAATGCCTCATTAAGCAACCATTCAAAGTTATGACAGTGCTGCAAAAGTAACTTTATGACCAGTACTTGCACGACTGTTGCAGCATCCCCGCAGCCACATGATTGACATTTGGGCACTTTGCAACCAGCAGGCATTTACAACCATTGCAGCATCCTGCAGTCACGTAGTGGCCATTAGTGTGCTTCGCAACTGGCTTGCGGCAAGCAGAGTCAATGGAGGAGTCGGTAGTAAAAGTCATGGTTATGTGATGTCTCACTTAACAACCATGGTGATTTGCTTAAGGACTTCAGCAGAAGTGAAGTAAGTCCGTTGCAATCATGTGATGTTCCACTTAGTTGCTGGTCCCAATTTGGCTGCTAAGCGAGGACTACCTGTAATTTACTGATAAAAATGAATTAAAATTTGAAAACAAGAGAAAAGGTCCATGAAATATTAATAAACAACTAGCTCAGTCCTTTAACATATTATTGAAATGTCTTCATGTTGTAAGAAATGAGAACATGGAGCATACGTGTCTGTATTGTCTAGGTTTAATAATATTGATAATGCTAATACTGATAGCTTTCTTCGTACTTACATTAAGTAATGGAATAATTTAGTCTGTACTGACAATTAGTTTAAATTCTGATCACAGTGTAGAATAGAGATGCACTGTTTGTGTGAGGAATTTTACTGAATATAAAACTTTACAACAATTCCAACATCTCTTCTTGCAGCAAGAAACTGGGTCAGTTCCATGATTAGCTGAAGTTTGCCTGTTATGATTTAGTTTTGCTTCTAAAATGTGGCTTAGGCTTCATTTACCTTGTCGTATAAAACCATAGTGCTAAACAAGCAGCATTGAACTCCAGAGGCATATCTCTTACTTTCTGATTGTTGGCTTTGAAGCAGGCAAAACAGCAATTTGTCAAGGAGGAAATGGATCATATTCTGCCTGTCTGAAAAAAGTGCCCTGAGATCCAGAAAAACTTGCCTTGAGCAAAGAAGGCTTTGCTTGGTCCATGGAGGTTTAAACTGCCTTCCTGGATCTCTGTGAAATTGTCAGAGCTGGCCAAATGTGTAAGCAGCTGTCTGGAGAAAGTAAAAATGAATCCCAGTGAAAAATTATCTTCAAATAGAATTACACTGTTTAACAATGTATGTTGTGGAATGTTCTGGATACTAAAATCACCTTTTTCATGATTTCTTTAAAGATGCAAGCGTTCTGTTTTTCATTCTTCTGTCTTCCCTCTCCTCCTTCCCCTCAACCACCATTTTTCCATGTGTTCTCCATAGGGGCATGACTCATTGCAGGCCATGGGAAGCAGCGCTGATAGCTGTGACAGCGAGACCACTGTGACATCCTATAGCGAGGAACTCAAGACTCCAGTTGCCGAACCAGAGTCTAGTTTCAGTGAGCTTGATGAGGAGAAATTCTTCCTCTTGGAAATGGAACAACAGGGAAAAGAGGTGGTATCTGAGGTGGATGCAGGAGGCCAGGAGACGTTAGGACATCAAGATGGACTTTCTTCAAGTGGCAGAGAGGAAGAGTGTGGCAGAGGTGGCTTAGAGAGAAGAAACGACATGGTTTCAGTCCATGAAGCAGAATCTGAGGCATTGGATGAAAGCAGTGAAGAGAGTGATGTGGATAAGAGCAGTGAATGCGAATTCCCTCCATATAAAACTCACCATATTCTCAAATCGGTGTCATCTCTAGAAAGTAGCAGTTCCTCTCCTTCTTCTGTGGAGAGGGTTAATATTGCTTTACAAAGAGCCCAGAGGAAGGACAGTGGGTCTTCCATTCCCAGAACTAGTCGCCCCCTGCTCAAATCAAAAGACCTTCTTTTTAAGAACAGGCATCAGGCCCCTGAACTGGGTTATCCTCTGAGACGTTCCCAATCCCTCCCAACCACTCTTCTCAACCCAGTGCGAGTGGTCTCCTCTGTCAATCTCCAGCTAACTCCAGGCAAGCAAATGTTATGTGGCCCTCCCTCTTTTACATACAAGTATGACACAGAGGAGGATCCTGGAAAGGAGAATACCCCAGAAGAAACATCCTTCGGAGACATTAACAAGAGCTCTTCTTCTTTATGTAAATCCACCCTCCACATTGCTCCTTCACCCACAAGGAAGGAACCTTCCCAGCCTGTTGGAAACAAGGGGCCGGATGAGTTCTCTTGCAGCAGAATACAGAGTTGCCCTTTGCACCTCCCACCATGCATGTCTCGCTCATCGTGTTCGCTGCATTCTCTCCATTCTGATGGTCCAGACCAGCACTTCCAGGACCACACAAGGACCTTCAGTGCATACAGCGTCCCAAGCACCCCTGGCTCTTCCTGTGCCGGGTGGCCTTCCCCTTTTGGCTGCCCTCATATGCTGAGGCACGTTGGACATCCCCACCGGTTTCATTCCATAAACCCTCCCTCCACTGTTGAAATGCAGTTGAGGCGAGTCTTGCACGAAATCAGAAACTCTTTGCAAAACCTTTCACAGGTAAGGAAAAGTGGAGTTGGTTGCTATAATCCAGCCCTACTCTGACCTAGAACCATCCAGATATGCTGGACTGCAGTACCCATCTTTCCCACCTAAATGGTGTGGATCATTGTGGATGATGGGAAAGGTTGCCCATCATCTTTTAATTTTTTTCCCCTTGGAAAAATGCATAATACATTAAAGAGGATGAAACACAGTATGAGACACTTATGCCATACAATTTTCTGGACAACATTGATGAAACTGAAAAGAGAGGAGCAAATCTGGGAATGCTGGATTATGGCTCCATGGTTTGTAATGAAGACAGCTAACCTGAACATTTTACTGCTCCTTCCACAATCCACACCAATTTTTTTCTCCATTTGTACTTAGTATCTCTGTCAAATTGCTGGATGGTTGCCAAAGTCTTGTGTTTAGGGGGTGGGTTGGAGAGATTTAACCTTTTTGAAGATACTTTCAAATATAAAATCTCTTTTATCATATAAAAGAGTTGAACCGGCATAATTTTTTCCCAGGGATTATCAAGCAGAAAGTGAGTAGGCTTAGCCAGCTATTGTGAAATCCATTGACTGTGAAGGTGAAATTGCTTTTTCATTCTGTTCATGGAATGTAATTTTTTTCCCTTGGCCTCTTTAGTTCATAAAGCTCCAGGGTATACTGGCCTTGCCATGTTAAACAAGCCCGGGGTGTGTCTATGTGTGTAACCTATTTCACAGATAAATAACTCCATGGGTGGCATTCATTGCTATTTAGAGAAGGGTGGGAAAGGGTTTTCAATCTAGAACTATTCCTTTGCTCAGTTGAAGAAAATGCTATCTGCAAGCGTATATCCTGCAGCATCAACTCACATCAAGGGGTTGCTGTTCGGGAATATGCCCCTTCCCCGTGCTAAAGCTTCCCCGCATGTGTCAGTCTTCAGAGGTCTAGGGTTCTGCAACAAAGGCAGAGCAGATCTGAAGGGTAACTCCCACATCTACAAATGGAGAAGGAACTAAGGCAGTGTTGTCCCAACTTTGCC